AACCAAATACTCCGGGCCCCCTTGCGCTCCATCATGCCGGCAAACCGCGTGCCTCTTCAGCAGCCAGCCACTTCAGTTGAAGTTGCACCTACACGTGATAATTTAGAGCAGATTGTCGCCGTTGACGGTCGTCCCATAGCCGCGTCGTTTAAATTTAGTTGAACGATCATTTGGGCCTATATAGGCGGCGTCAGGGGACTTGCTTCTGCAGTGTTGGTGTGATATTGACTGCGTGCGGGTGTACGTGTTTGTGTGAGCAAGACGCGTGCGTTTGTCGGCCGAGCATTTGCTTTCAATTATTCGCCGCAGCTGTGATGATTTATTTTTGGTTCCCGTCAGCCAAAATGTCAACCAGCGGAATATACAATGAAATTAAGGTAGACAAGAGCCAACAGCGGACGGGGAAGCTGGTAAGAGTTGGCGGCCGATGCTCTGAGGATGCCAAAGTAGCAGAGGAATGGAGTGGAGTGGAGTGGAGTGGAGTGGAGTGGAGTGGAGTGGAGTGGAGAGGAGAGGAGACGAAAATCTATTGGAATAGCAGAGTGCTCTATTTAGGACGCTTTTAAGAAAGGTGGAAAAGGAACGTTGGGAATTGACGTAGGAGTCGAGAACATAACCAAAATTTCTTACGTGTGCTTTTTGCTTTTCACTTCTGTATTTTTATTTTACAATTTTGATTTGCCAAAGGACAGTTACTCTCTTTAAGAGCTCAAAATATGCCTCTAACAGCATTTTACTCGCCATACGCGATCGACGCCTTTCAAAGCTTTAAAGCAAAATGTCATGACGAAATGCGCAAATGTTCGTCGTACGTATTACAAGAATTTGAACTTTTTCAATTTTTTGTGATTTGTTCGCGAAATCTTATTAATAAGCTCGATATTTTAACGAAAGTTTGTTGTTGATTTTTTGCAAATATCTCAAAAAGATTGAAACTTGGATTTATTTGGTTTTGCTAAGGAATAAACTATACTTTTATATAAAAGAAAAAACATATTATAAACTTAAAAATAATAAATAAAACTTTCAAAACTTATAAATATATAAGGGCCGTATAGTTATGTTAAGCACTATATATATATAGAGGATTCAAAGACGTGTTAGCCGTCGTACAATCTTAAGCTTTACATTATTTATGAAATATAATGGTTAAAATAGTTTTAGGTTTAAAAACATATCGGTATAGTAAGAAATCCTCTAAAACCATTTTTATCATTATTTTACATAAAAAAAATATTAAGCTTAAGATTTTACGACGGTTAACATGTATAGTGAAAATTTAAAATTATTAATAATGAAAATATTTCTTAATGCTAGGACATCCTACGAAGGGCCTATGGCTTCATTCAAAATCTGTAACTTTCAATCATAATCTTAAACTTAACCGCCGCAATTAAAATAACTTTCTTCAACGGCTAATGACTTTGCCCTTTTTCAATTAAGTAAATCTCATTTCATTCAATCAACTTCAGTAGAACATTCTTTTCCGCAAATTCGCATGTACTACTTACGTACTTACTCTTGCAGTTGTCGTCAGAAACGCTTTCCTAAAGAATTTTAATTACAAATCCACAACAACTTTAATTTGCCAAGCCACTAATAACAATGAGAAAATCACTTGCAGTATTTACATGTACATTTGGATGTACATACATATATATGTATAACATTCATTGTACAATGTACATACAAGCATGCCCATGGGCAAAACATATACATACATGTATAACTACGAAGTAATACGAGAACCACTAAATAAGTCTTTAGATTAGCCAAACCTTTAGATAAGCAAAGCGCCATAACTCAAATTTCAAATAAGTTTAATATAAAGCGAAAAAATCAATTCAAAAGTGACACCAATGCAAATGCCATACATATACATGGTTTGGACGAAAAATGCCCCCTAAATGTATGCTTTAATATTGATCCTAAATTACAGATGCAAGCTCAGTTCCGGTGTAGTAAGGAGTAAGGTAAGCTTGAATATGTACAATGAAGAAAAGGTTAAAGGCAAAGATTAAAATAAAAGTAAAGAAAGCTAAAGATACAGACAATGAGGAAGGTAAATTGAAATACATAATTATGCAGATGAACAAAGGAATGGAAATAAAGGTCAGAATAAAGTTAAAAAAAGATATGGATAAAAATGAAAAGATTAACATAAACATAAAGACAAAAAACTAACGATGAAGATAGAGATAGAGAAAGTCATGGAGATAAAGAAAGAGACCAATAAAAATATAAAACTGAAGAATAAGATATGTTATGATATGTTATGTTATGTTGTGTTATGTTGTATTGTTACGTTATGTTGTGTTTTATTATATTTTCTTGTGCTATGTTATTTTATGTAAGTTATTTTAAGTTATTTTATGTAAGTTGTGTTATGGTATATTATGTTACATTAAGTTGTGCTATGTTTTGTTATGTTATGTTATGTTACTTTATATAATGTAATATTATGTTATTTTATGTAATGCTATGTTATGTTCTTATGTTTTGTTATGTTATGTTTTATTATGTTGATTTATTTTGGAACGAATTTCCGTCATCCCTTGTCAAGTTTGGTTTGCAGACAAACCGGTTTCGGCGTTGTGCCATCTTCAGTGTCATTTTTCGTTCTGTCTGGTTCGAGATTTGTCCCTAATTTATGTTCATTTATCTTAGGTAATGTGATTTTCGTCGATGATTAATTACTAGATATGCCATGGTGCCCATTTTTTTGAAGCAGGTAATAGGTTCATCTTCGCTGTTTCGATATTAACATGCATTATGTTGTCGCTGTATGGTTTTTGCCTGCAGGTAGGTAAAAGTCAGTGATTTTTGCCCTGGTGGTGCTTTTTGGTGTGTTCGGAGTGTCCATGCCTGTTGTTTTGTTGTCATTTTTCTTTTTTTCGTAAATCAATTTTAAGGGTTCGAATATAACATCCGATGCGGTATTTGTTTGTTCGTTTATTATTTTGCCGTCGAAGGTTTTTAGTTTGTATATTTCCATATTTTCTAGGACGTTTAGTCGTTGGCCTTTATGTTGTACATGCAGTAGTTTCGCTGCCTTTCTTATTTGCGTTGGTGAACATTTGTTGTTAAACATGTGGTTAGCAAAATTTGACTCTGGTATTGCGCTCGGTTTCTGTGTCTTTTTGTTATAGTCTCTTATATGCTCGCGGAATCTTGTTTTTATTTTACGTCCTGTTTGACCTATGTAACTATGCTGGCATTTGCAAGTTAGTTTATAGACTCCTTGTTTATCCAATGGATCTTCTTGATTTGTGGTGTTCCGTAGTATCCGTCCCACGTTGTTATTTGTTCTGAATGATGTGCGAAGGTTGTGTTTCTGGAACAGCTTTGCAAGTTTGTACGTTGACTTTCCAGTATAGGTTAATACCGCCCAATTTTTGTTATTGTTTTCTTCTTTGTTTGGCTTTTTGTTTTTGTGTTCCCTTTGGATGTCTTCTACCAGATCTCTTTTGTATCCGTTATTAGCCGCTATGGCATATATTGCGTTCAGTTCTTTGTTGTATCCTTCTTTTGTTAGTGGTATTCGCTCAATTCTATTGATCATCTGTCT